GTTGCTGTGTTTTCTCTCAGGAAATGAATTAATTTCCTAAGAATGAAAATTGGTCATGGTAACCAGAAGATCCTATCTTCATCAGTAAGAAGGATATATATATATATATAATATATATATATAATATATATATATTTATATTTATATATATTTATATATATTTATATTTTTTAGTAAGCAGGATATAAATGTAAATTCTCACCCATTATTTCGATGTAGTACCTTTGGTGAACAGGGAGGTTCTTCAGTTATCTTGCAAGACACCCATCTCTCCAGCCCTGTGCAAATCCGTCTAGCTGCTCTTTAGAGTAAGGGAAGGGTTAAACTTCAGAGTCTCTTCTCTGGGCCAGTTAATAAGAGCCTGATCCCCTCCTCTATAATTAAGAAAGGAGCCCCGGGCTTTACTGGGGAGGTATACAAGCCACAGTGAGGAGGGAGATTTGAGAGCCAGAGAGCATGGTTTTTCTAAGCTTTTAGAGCTCAGTCTCAGATCCAGACTTGCTTTGGAGTATCTCCAGGGAAGGCAAGGCCAGGAGGACCAAAGTGAACACACCTCCTCTTTTGGACTAAGAGCTCAACTCTCATCTAGGACTCTGACATTCTGACCTCCCTCTCTCATCTGTGAAAAGCTCACCAGAAGTTTAAAAAAAGAAGAGAAAAGAAAAGAAAAGAAAAGGAAAGGAAAAGAAAGGAGCTATAGAGGGGCACTGTTGTTGGGAGGGGTGGCTGGGAGTCCCTGAGTCATGTGAAAATGGGTATGAAGTTTGTACTTTTCAAATTCTGGCCAGGGGACCTCTGAGAAAGCTGTTTGAGTATGTGGTGGTTGAGGTTCCAAGGCTTTCCCTCATCATGATTATTATTTTTTAACGTTTATTTTTGAGAGGAGAGGGGAGCCAGCATGCAGGGGAGGGGCAGAGAGACAGGGAGAGAGAGAAACCCATATTGTCAGCGCAGAGCCCAGCGCAGGTCTCGATCCCACAGACTGTGAGATCAGGACCTGAGCCAGAATCAAGAGTCAGACACTTAACTAACTGAACCACCCAGGCGTCCCTCCCTCATTACTTTTTTTTGGTCCGGTAAATACCAAAGTCATTCCACTCTTTTTGGATCACGTATCAGCCACTTCCAAATGGTGTATTTGTCAGGATCAAGTCCATACTCCTTAAAATGCAGAATGAGGACCCTCAACATCTGGACCCAGCCTCTCTCTCCAGTCTCCTGGCCAGCCACCCCTCCCCATGCACTGGGTTGAGAAATCATTTGTAGGTCCCTGTGGGGACTACATTTCCGCCCCCCCCCGCCCCATTTATTTCAAAGGAGCGGCTTTGTTTCTCCTCTCTCTCTCTAATTCCTATTTGTCCTCTAAGGACACATCGCAAAAGTCACAAATATGGTAATTATTTGTTAACATAAGACTCCACCTCCCAATCTTCTTTGGACTCTGATTCCCCCCACCCCCACCCCAGGCAGAAATATCTTATTCTACTTTATATGGCTCGCCCAGCATATAACAAAAATTAAATAAAATCTTTCCTAATAAGAAAACATATGGGGAGAAACTTTTGAGTAAACAGACCTTTATCTGAACCAGCCGAAGAGCGAGATCATTTGTTTCCCTTGCTTTGAACGCTAATTTCATCTTGTGGTGAAAAAGACATTTTGCCTTGAATGTTAAGATGACAATTTTTACAAATTTCAATACAAGCCAGTTGTCCCTTATGTCTTTTGGGCCCCCGCTGTGAGTTTCCCACTGGCCAGTGGGTTTCTAGGTATCCATTAATGGGGTGCCTGGGTGGCTCAGTCGGTTAGGCGTCCAGCTCTTGGTTGCGGTTCAGGTCGTGATCTCATAGTTTGTGGGTTCGAGCCCTACCTCGGGCTCTGTGCTGACAGCGCAGAGCCTGCTTGGGATTCTCTCTCTCCCTCTCTCTCTACCCTCCTCCACTTGTGCTATCTCTGTCTCTCTCCAACTAAATAAATAAACTTAAAAAATTTTTAAAAATATTTTTGAGGGGTGCCTGGGTGTCTCAGTGGCACTTTGGCTTGGGTCATGAGCTCACGGTTCATGAGTGCGAACCCCACTTCGGGCTCTGTGCTGACAGTGTGAGCCTGCTTGAGGTTCTCTCTCTTTCTCCCTCTCTCTCTGCCCCTTCCCTACTCTCACTCTCTCTCAAAATAAATAAACTTTAAAAAAAAAGGAATATTTAAAAGGAAATGTGTAGGGGGTGGGGACAGATGAAGTGCTTCGAAAACTAGAGTATGCCATCAATTTTAATGATAATCAGGATTTTTCTCTGGAACAGTTTAGGGACAAAAGTGATAGCTCTGAAACTTCATTTTTTCGTTTTAATCTCCACCTTCTTCCTTTTCTCTTGTTCGCCGAGACACTAAATGCACCAGAGGCCTTATCTAGATGCCTCCGGTTTTGATCAAAGTCCTGCCTACCGCCACCTCTCCTGACAACAGGCAGTTTGTTCAGTGCGGCCTGCCCTGATTCCTCTCCTGCTGCTTTTCTCTGTGTCCTTGAGCTCTCTGGTAACTCTACCTCTCACCAAATTTTGCAATTTGTTCTAGACTTCAAGACCTCAGGCTCTACTTCCCTTTCCTTTAGAGCTGCATTTCTCCGCAAGCGGAAGGCTAACAAAGCGGCTAAGTTTCTCTAACTCCTTTTCTTTGGGGCTCTTGGAGCTGAACTCTGCAGACCTACGTGCCGGAGAGCCTCTATTTTATCCTACCACCATTTAAAAAAAAATTTTTTTTTTAACGTTTATTTATTTTTGAGAGAGAAACAGAGCATGAGCAGGGGACGGGCAGAGAGAGGTAGACACAGAAGCTGAAGCAGGTTCCAGGCTCTGAGCTGTCAACACAGAGCCTGACGCGGGGCTCGAACTCACAAACCATGAGATCATGACCTGAGCCGAAGTCGGATGCTCAACTGACGGAGCCACCCAGGCACCCCAATCCTATCACCATTTTGAAGATTCCCCCAGCATTCTGATTTTAGGTTCATCTCTGGTCTAGAAGCCGACATAGGAGCCACTCGATTTTCAGGAACACTCATCACAATAAAATACTCATGTTAGGAAACACTTCATTTTGGGTAGCCCCTGGGTTTCTCAGTTCTTTCTCTTTTTTTTTTTTTTTTTAATTTTTTTATTTAAAAAAATGTTTATTTAGGGGCGCCTTAGTTGGTTAAGTGTCCGGCTTCTGCTCAGGTCATGATCTCAGAGTTCATGGGTTCAAGTTCTGCATCGGGCTCTGTGCTGACAGCTCGGAGCCTGAAGCCTGCTTTGGATTCTGTGTCTCCCTCTCTCTCTCCCTCCCCTGGTCACACTTTGTCTCTCTCTGTCTCTGAAAAATAAATAAACGTTAAAAAATTGAAAACTGTTTATTTATTATTATTTATTGAAAGAGAGAGGACATGGGCATGGGAGAGGGGCAGAGAGAGAGGAAGAGAGAATCCCAAGCAGCCTCCACACTCAGTACAGAGCCTATCATGGGGCTTGATCTCAAGAGATCATCAAGAAATCAAGAGATGGCTGCTTAACTGACTGAGCCACCCAGGCGCCCCCAACAACTGCGTTTTTTTTTTTACTTTTTTTTTTTTTTTTTTTGCCTCATGATCATGACATCTTTCTCCTGCTGCTTTGCTTTTCTTTTTGGCTTTTCTTTTTCACTTCTGCAATCTGCCTCTCCCTCGGTGGAATTTTCTCTTTTCCTCCCTCTTTATGAAGTTTTCTCTTTTTTCTCTTTCCTAGTCAGCCTGCCCCTTCCTTCCTTTTCTGGCAACTTCTCTGTTTCAGGGTTTAACTAGACGTTATGAATCACTCCAGTTTCTAGGTTGCTAATCCAGGGAATCCGGGCAATTTGTTTCTGTTCAGGGTTGGACTCCTGTCAAGCTTGCTTCTTAACTTCATGTGGAATCTTCCTTCTCTTCTGCTGTTTCGCCATGCTGCTTCATTAATCTGTAACAATTACCCACCCTCTTTCCAGACAAAGAGGCACCTTTACTCATTTAAATTCCTCAGCTCTTCAGATTTCAGACAGATGGCTGCCCTCAAAATGGCAGGTGAAATCTGAGGCACAAAAATGTTATTTTTCTTTCAAAGATTATTTATTTATTTTGAGAGAGAGACAGAGAGAGAGAGAGGGAGAGAGAGAATCCCAAGCAGGCTCCATGCCCAGCGCCGAGCCCCACGCGGGGCTCGATCTCACAACCACAAGATCACAACCTGATCTGGTATAAAGTCGGAGGCTTAACTGACTGAGCCACCCAGGCTCTGCCAAAAAAGTTATTATGGAAATCTTTTCTGCGAGAGTGCTCTGGGTCTGCTGGTCCACGTCGTGTATAATCTTGCAGAAAGAGCATTAGACTTGAGAGTCAGAAAAGTTTTGATGTTCCTACCTATTGGCTGTGCAAATTTGGGAAAATCACTTACCTTTCCTGGGCTCTCTGGAAAAATGGGAACACTTCATGGGAGTATTGTGGAGATGAAGAAAGAAGCAGAAAAGTACCTGCAAACTGGACCGAGATGGTAAGTGAGCAGGGACGATGTTCTGCTTCTTTAAATTCTTCCAAGTGAAGGGGTCATTAAAACACTGACATTTGTTTGGTCAGTTTCTCTCCCCGCCCGCCCCGCCCCCCCTCCCCAGGTCTCAGGGAAAGCTACAAGCTGGAAAAGGTGCAGAGATCCTTGTGGTAACATTTGGCCCAAATGTCTACGCTGTAGGACTTTTTGTCTGGAGAGGGTCTTAAGGAATTCTGATTGGAGTTCTGTGAATCCAGTCCAGGCCAAAGCGGCCCCAGGGAGGTGCTTTGGGAAGGGCAATCACTGCAAGGTGGTTGCAACAGTTCACTTCCCAGGCGAGCAGGAAGCCTGATTAGAAAAAACCTTGTGTGTGTGTGTGTGTGTGTGTGTGTGTGTGTGTGTGTGTGTGTGTGTGTGTGTGTTTGGCGCACGCCAAACCCAAAGCAGCGTGGGATGTTTCAGGCTGGCACCACCTCCTCTGGGTGTCTCTGAGGCCATCCAGAGGCCAGAGCCCAGGCCGATTAACTGCAAAGTCAAGAGAGGACCACAGAGTTTGGAACTGTGTGCGGACCGCTTGCAGCGCAGAGGGCGGGAGGGAGGAAAGGGAGGAGGGCTTAGGGAGCTGAGGCCCCACCTTTCATTCCAGCAAAGTGCACCGGCGGAGCAGGGATGAGTCACAGGCACTGGAGCTCAGGTTCCCATAGGTGAGGGACTGGCTCTTCTCTCTGGGAAAACGAGGTGCCAGTTCTTACTGGAGCGGCCTTGGCAGGGTGTTGGAGCCCTCGGTCTGCCCGGTCTGGTCTCTGGGGCCAGGGCTGGGTTCCCTCATGTATGGCAAGAGCACTTCGAGTGCTGGGCTGCTTCTCCTTGGTGTGCAGCTCACAGGTAAGGGCTGCGGGGAGGGGTGGGGGTGGGGGGGGGTCCCTCGCCATTTCCTCCTTCACGGCCGACCCTGTAAGGTGGTCACAAGAGTGTTGCTTGGAAGCCTGAGCCACGGTTGCCGTTCACTTTAGGTGTTGACTTTGCTGAAACCGAAGTTGGTGGGTTGTTTTTGGAGAACTGATTTTGGACAAACAGGTTTAGGTGTGTTTGGGCTGCTAGTGATTCAGGCACAGAGAGGGCTTTCTAATCTCAGGTTACAAACCATTTTTTTTTCCTTTTTTTTTTTTTTTTTTGTGGCTACTCTCAACCTCCCACTGCAGGCAGGATCAGGCGCTTGGATTTCTGTGCGTCTTGTCTGGGACTCTCAGCAGCCCTGGGAAAGCTGAGAAACTAAAGGAGAGAGACCCATGGTGATTTTGAAACTGCCCCAATATGCACATTCTAAATGTAAATATCCTGGTTAAAAAAAAAGCACCACGTGGTGTAAAGGTTCCAGGGGTGCAGACAAACAGAAGCTGTCCGGGCTTAATTAATTTCAATTTCTGCAGAAGATTGGGGACAGTATGAAATCAAGGACCCTTTCTGGACAACTTGCCTTCTAGGGGACCATTATACACACAATACATAATGCTTCATCTGAATACATGTCTAATCCATGCTACGATTAGTTTTTATTTTTGTTTGTGCTTTCAATTGTATCTGCCGACGTTTGTAGTTGGTTCCAACAGTGTGGGAGCGGGGACCGTGAGGCTAGGGTATCGCACTGTGGAGAAAGTTGAGAGCACCGAGAAGGCTCGCCATGTGGTATTCTGAGTCACGGTTGCACGTAAGTGGGAGCATGCAGGCTCAGGATGGAGTAAGTGTGAGAGCCGGGACATTGACTTCATTACAAGACTCACTCAGACATTTATTTTGGCCGTGTCGGCAGAAATTCTCTTAATCTGCATCTTCCTTTCTCCTTTTCTCTGGTAGCCCTTTGGCCTATAGCAGCTGTGGAAATTTACACCTCCCAAGTGCTGGAGGCTGTCAACGGGACAGATGTTCGGTTAAAATGCACTTTCTCCAGCTTTGCCCCCGTGGGTGATGCGCTAACAGTGACCTGGAACTTCCGTCCTCGAGATGGGGGCCCCGAGCAGTTTGTAAGTAGATTATTGTCATAGGCCCGGGGACCCCTGGTTGGGGAGACAAGCCGGTCCATTTCTCCTTGCCCTGCCTGTGTTTTTTTCTCAGCAATAAGCACAGGGTAAAGCTGAGACACGATTCTTGGCAGAGAATGACTGGCAGAGTTGAGAGGTCCATCAAGGGTAAAGCAAGAGGTTCTTGGAAGAGAGCTGCATGTGGGGCAGTGAGGCTGGCTCCCCTCTCTCAGCCTCCGTGCCCTGGCGCTGAATAATAAGACTTTTGGCCGCTTCTGCCTTGTAGGTATTCTACTACCATGTGGATCCCTTCAAACCCATGAGTGGGCGTTTCAAGGATCGGGTGGTCTGGGACGGGAACCCTGAGCGGTACGACGTCTCCATCATCCTCTGGAAGCTGCAGTTTGACGACAATGGGACATACACCTGCCAAGTGAAGAACCCACCTGACGTTGATGGGCTGATAGGGGAGATTCGGCTGAGCGTCGTGCACACTGGTAGGTCACACAGGGGAAAAGGGTTTTGGGAAGCTTGAGAGCTTGTAGAAAGGAGAGGGGTGGTCTTTTGTGACGGCTGAAAGAGTAGCGAGAAGGGCTAGCCCTTCGGGTCTGGAATCTACAGAGGGAGACTGAAGAGTCCTGGGGTAAAAAGAGAAAGGCTTTGTTTGTCTGTGGAAAGAAACAGAAAGTTAAGCAAGTGGACTGCGGAATCTGTTACAGAAGTGGCATTGAGATTGTAAAAGGGAGAGGAAGCAGTTCTCTGATAAAAGGCTAACAATAGATCTGTTCATTCACTCATTTATTCACAGGATACTTACTGAGTACCTACTCTGTGTCAGACACTGTCCTGTGCTTGGCCTGTACTATCTCACTTAATCCTTACACCCTAGGCTGCGGATGCCAGTGATGGTGGTGATCATTTATTGAGTGCCTCCCATGTGTCAGGGGCTTTGCATATGTTATTTAATCTTTATATATCACATCAGTTTCTTGGGCTCTTAATGCCCCACATTTTACTAATGAGGAAGTTGAGGTTCATAGAGGTTAAGTCCTTTGTCTGAATTCATGGAGCTGAGGGAATGGAATCATTTGGAACTCAAACCCAAGCATCTTTGACTCCAAAACTGTACTCTAGACTAATGCATTGTGGTGCTTGCAATCTTATAAAGGAAAACCTGGAGCACTGGGTGTTGTAGGGAAGCCAATTTGACAATAAATTATATTAAAAAAATAAAATGAAATAAAAAGAAGGGAAAAAAATAAAAAGGAAAACCCGGAAGCTGTGCAGATAAGACCATAAAACTTAGGAGTTGTAAATCTGGGCTTGAATCACTGCTATCATTTACCAGTTGGCAATAAATCTTTTTTTCCTTTCCTTACAGTGAGAATAATCTAGCGAGGCTTATGGTGAAGGAAAAATGAGACAATGAATGTAAAAATTCCCCAAACTCTGAATTGCACCAAAAAAACTTTTTTTTTTTGCACTGAAAATTATAATAACTACCATACAGTGAGTGTTTATTATGTGTGGGCACAGCGTGGAACCAATTGATACGACTGTCTTTTTCTAAATAAGAATTCAATAAATGAATATTGTTGTCTCTGATACATTGAGGAAACTGAGGCTCAAAGAAGTTAATTACCCCAAATCACATAGCTAGTAAATTGTAGAGCTGGTATTTTCACCCAGCTGTCTCTGGCGGGTGCTCTTAACTAACACATGATATTACTACCTGTAGAGTAGTAGGATTTCCTCCTTTAATTCCTAGTATCATCCTTCAGGGCTCCATCAGTAGGGCTGCGTGACCTTGGAGAAGTCAGTTGAGTACCAAAAGACGTTTCTGAATTCATCTGCGTGTAACCTGCAAGAGCAGGTTGGACAAGAACACATGTTCTTAAATGTATTGTGGTCACTACCCTGAGAACCTAAGGAAAGTCATGGCTCTGCTTCCCACAAAAACGTACACATACACACACTATGACACAGAGTTTGTGGGCTTGTGGCCCGGCTCTCTTCCCTTCCTCTTTCACAGACTCCGGGCTGGGAACTTCTGGGCTAGACGTTTTCTAAAGTCCTTCCTGGCTCTGAGGGTTTATTGAAGTTTTAGTCAGAAATCAGGGCACCTGGGTGGCTCAGTGGGTTTACGTGTCTGCCTTCAGCTCAGGTCATGATCTCACGGTTTGTGAGTTCGAGCCCCGCGTCTGGGTCCGTGCTGACAGCTCAGAGCCTGGGGCCTGCTTCGGATTCTGTGTCTCCCTTTCTCTCTGCCCCTCCCCTGCTTGCACTCTGTCTCTGTCTCAAAAATAAATAAACATTAAAAAAAATTAAACTAAAAGGCAGGAGACCCAGACTTCACAGATTCTGCCTGGTGTTAGGGACCTTTCCCACTGGGTTCCGTCTTGCATCATTTTATCTACTGGACTATAGTTACAGATTTACTTGCCTATCTTCCCAGTGGGTATGAGTTCCTTGAAGGTAACGTCTTTTTTGGCTTTGTATTTCCGTTGCAATGTCGGAACATAGTAGGCCCTTAATAAATCTGGATAAATGACCGGATGAATGCCAGAGGTGAGAGGGAATCTAGGAGAAACAGTTTGGACGCTGGGTTTGGCTAGGTCAGCAATAACCTTACCCTACTGGGTGGTTTACTGGCTCCGTGGTTCTCAGAATCTTAGCATCAGAATCACCTGGAGGACAGGTTAAAACAGATTGCTGGGCCCCACCTACAATTCAGGAGGTTGAGGTGGCCCTGATGATTTGCATTTCAAAGTTCTGCAGAGTGCTGCTATTACTTCTGGGACCATAGTTTGAGAACCACGAGAGCAAGCTTCATAGCTTCCTTACTGCTGCTAGAGTTCACAAGGTCGTATGGTAGGAGAAAGGAAGATTCCATTTAATGCTGAAACTACATCCCTCTTATATCGTTAGGTTTCATCATATTCTTTCTCTTTTGAGAATCATGACATCCTCTTTTTGTCCTTACAGTACGCTTCTCTGAGATCTACTTCCTGGCTCTGGCCATTGGCTCTGCCTGTGCCCTGATGGTCATAATAGTAATCGTGGTGGTCCTCGTCCAGCATTTCCGGAAAAAGCGATGGGCCGAAAGAGCTCATAAAGTGGTGGAGATAAAATCGTAAGGCTGGGCAGTTCTGGGCAGTCTTCTTCTAACACTCTTCTATCGTGACTTTTGGTATTTTACACTTGGGCAAAATGATTGTTGAACAGATGTTTTTCCCTCCGAGTAAATCTTATAAAAGAATTCAGATTCACAGGATGGAGAAAGTAGGGTGTGATCTGGTAACTTTACAAAAGCTTTCTTAATTGTATAGAAGATTTCATTAGAGGCTTTCTTTATTATGGAGGACTTGATATTGTCAAAATCTGCTTATGTGAAGCTTTTCTAGGATATTCCTTACTTAAAAAAAAATTTTTTTTAACCTTTATTCATTTTTGAGAGACAGAGCACAAGCAAGGGAGGGGCAGAGGGAGAGGGAGACACAGAATCTGAAGCAGGCTCCAGGCTCTGAGCTGTCAGCACAGAGCCTGACGCGGGGCTCAAACCCACAGACTGTGAGATCATGAGCAGAGCTGAAGTCAGACGCTTAACCGACTGAGCCGCCCAGGCGCCTCTGCTATTCCTTCCTTTTTTTTTTTATTTAAAAAATTTTTTTTCAACGTTTATTTATTTTTGGGACAGAGAGAGACAGAGCATGAATGGGGGAGGGGCAGAGAGAGGGAGACACAGAATCGGAAACAGGCTCCAGGCTCTGAGCCATCAACCCAGAGCCTGACGCGGGGCTCGAACTCACAGACCGCGAGATCGTGACCTGGCTGAAGTCGGACGCTTAACCGACTGCGCCACCCAGGCGCCCCTATTCCTTACTTTTTAATGTAAAGTGTATATTTGTAAAATCTGCTGGGCAGGCAGCAGGGGCATCGTGAGTCAGTGCCTAGGAGAGTCAGCCATGCTGATATAAGGTGCTCAAAAAATATATATTTTTTGAGATGAAATTTACCTATCATAAAAATTTGTCTTTTTAATGTTCACCAAGTTACATAACCATCACCACTAATTCCCAGAATTTTCATCACCCCCGAAGGAACTTCATACGTTTTAGCCATCACTATTTATTTTCCACTTCCACCTGCCCCTGACAACTACTGATCTGCTTTCTGTCTCCATGGATTTGCCTGTTGTTCGAAGGCAAGGAGAACGTAAAGTGGGGGGGGG